AGAGGGGCGCCGAGGTGCGGCGCCTCCGCCCCGCGTCCTGGAGGTCCGAGCCCGCGCATCGGCCCTTCGCTCCCCTCCCCTGCAGGCGCGCCCCACCCGAGTCCCCGCCGGCCTGGCACGGGGGCTCTGGGTGGGGTCCCCTGCCTCCTCCGCTGACCATCGGAACGAAGCGGGAAGGACCACATGCCAGGGGTCCACAGCCCAGCTCCTCCCCCCCCCCCCCCCCCCCGTCTCGCCCCCCGGGGGGTTCCTTCCTAAGGGAATTCTTTACAAGTGTGTTGCTTCCCACGATGCTGGTCAGAAGCAGGAAGGGACGTGGAATGCGGCGCAAATGGCCAGGGGTCCTGCCCTCCCTCCAGATCCATCCTCACTTCAATGTCAGAAGGGGGAAGTAGTATCGTTGCTGTGTGTGTGTGTGTACCCACACACCAGAACTGGCGCTCAACCTCAGGGCCTGGGCCCTGTCCCTGAGCTTTCTCACACCAGGCTGGCCCTCTGCCGCTTGAGTCACAGTTCTACTTTTTTTTCCTCTTTTTTAAAATATTTTACTGTAAAGATGAGGCCCAGCGGGGCTACAGTTACATAGGGCAGGGAATAGGTACATTTTGAAGTGTCACCTCTTTGCTTGTTTTCTCCCAGGTTTCCCTCTCCACCCCCCTCCCCAACAGCTCCACTTGGGACTTTTGCAGGTTAACTGGAGATAAGAGTCTTGTCACATTTCTGCCTCAGATGTCAGCTCCCTGGGTAACTAGGATTACAGGCATGAGCCACTGGCTCCATGGCCAGCTGGGAGTCTGTTTCTGGGTGGAGCCGGCTTAGTGTTGCATCTCTTCCCCCGCTTGTCGGCTTGTCGTAATGCTTGACTCAAAGATATTTAAAAGCTGCACCTGGAGTAGAGGCCTGCAACCAAACAGAGGCAGAAGACAGATTACTTAGGCCAGCTGAGCAGGGAGGTACATTAATCCCAGCTGAAGGGATTAATCCTGTCTCTAGAGGGAGATGGAGTTTTGCATCTGACTGCAGCCCTTGCAAAGGGACCCTATCTGAAAGACAATCTAAAACTGAAAGAGCTGGGGTGTGGCTCAGGTGGTAAACTAAGCTCTATCCTCAGTACAGCTACAATAATAATAATAAAGATTTTCAAGCACTTCTGAAGAGGATGCCAGTGGTTTAATTTTCCTTGATCTAATGCCCCCCCCCCTTTCCTCTCATCTTGTCTGTTACTACCTATGTGCATGAAGCCACACACCATCTCAGGGAGCACTGCAAATTTGGACCCTTAATGGGTTTGAAGTCCTGAGTCCTAGGAGGCCTCCTAGGATCAGCAGATGGACATGTGTGTCCAGCGAATTCCAACACTTGTCCATAACGTATTCCAGTACTTCGTGTGTCCCGTAGCTCACTCGGAAGAACTGCCATAGTCATCCCACGGAAGAGGTATGCTGAGCCCTTTATGAGTACATGAATGACCTGCCCCCCACCCCTGCAAAGCTTTGCACAAGTCCCCCAAGGCTCTAGGAAGCATCTCCTGGGCACAGGAACAGCGTATCCCAGCTGCCCCGCTGGGCTGCAGCACAGCTGGAGAGAGACACAGCAGCTCAGTCCTGGGCAAAAGAAGCCCTTGGAAATCCAAAGCAGAAGGCCTGGGCTCAGGGCCCTCTGTCCATTCTGGGTTAACTCGCCGGCCACTGGGTCATCTGATCAGCATGACAACTGAGGAGAAGTCAGAGTCTTCTTTTTAGACTTTCCTTTCTGTGTGGGCACCAATAGTGTAACTTCAAAATGCCTTTCGCTCCCTGCCACAAAGGAACACCCGTTAATTAGCACTGATCCCAAGGGAAACAGAGGCAGAACTCAGGATGACCTGGAGCACTGCCTAGGGAGGACTTCACTCCTGGCCACCCCTTCCCAGGTCCACTTTGCTTGTACAGGCAGTTCCTTTATCTCTGCCCTAGCCTGTCCTTCATCCGTCGTGGGGGTCAACCACGGGCAGCCCTGATAGTGAAATCTAAGAAGTGCTTTGGATTAAGGTGAAGGGGCATGCTGGAGCAATGTTCTCCCTGGAGGACAGGGCTCTGCTCCCCGCTTCTCTCCAGAGAGCGGCCGGGGTCAGGAGAGTTCTCTACACTAAGCCATCCTCTGGAGCAACAGATGGGCAGGCTGGGTGTGTGGCAGGGTGGAGGTGTCCTTGAAGGAGAGGAGGGGTAAGCCCTGCAGCCCCTGCGCTCACATCAATAGCATTTGTTGGAATTGAGGCGTTTGGTCCTGCAGCAGCTGCCTTTGTGTAACCATTCACAGGGCAGCCATGTGACTCCGTGATCCGACCCCTTCACCATCCAACAGACGTAAGTTTTGTGCTGCCCAGGTCACAGAAGTGGATGCAAGGTCTGTGCACATGGGTTCTTGACTTAACTTATGAGCTTAGAGCGTGTAACCGGTAGACCAGTGAACTCTGGGAAATGCTGAATCCCGCAGTTACCTGAATATGTCTCATGACTGATGTCTGACCTCTCCCTCACCCATCTATTGGTGCATGATTAAATAATGCAAAGTCATCATCAGAACTTCCTGAGTGAACAGAATTTCTTTGGTAATTATAACAGCCCCAACGTGTCTATAGTGTGCTACAAATCTGCCTCTAACTCACAGGGAGAGGCATCTTAGGTCTGGCTCACCACCTCGGTGCCTCTCTCCACGGGAGCTGAACTTGCCAGCCAGATCTGGTCTCTAGAATGTCAGCTCAGGGATGTCAGCCAGCTCCAGGAAAACAACTCCATTTGCCTGCACCCCTGGCATGAGCATCACGCTGCATGTGTGGATAGAGACCCCCGACACCCACGTCCCGCTGAGAGGACAGGCCTCCTGACCCTCAGAGGATGCCGTGTCCCTCCCAGAAGGGCCAGACAACCCTCTGAGTCCATCTTTGTCCTTGCTGCTCAGCATTTTCACAGTTACCAATCAATGCTCAGTTGGTGTTCTGACGGATTCCCCAGAGACACTCAGTTCAAGAACTCTGGGCGTGCAGGGCCGCTTGCAAGGACACCCAGTACCACAGCTCTCCTCATGCCATGTGGGTCAAAAGGTATTTTGCAAAAATGGCCCTAAATATAACTCTGAAGTGTCCCATGAGGAGTTGGGAGGGAATGGGGGAGAGAGCAACTTTCCAAGGGGACCCTGCACCAATGGCTGGTACATGGCTCCTTTATATCATCACAGCATTCACTCCAAAAGCACCACAGGGCAAAAGGCCTTGCCTTGATTTTTTTTTTCTTCTGTCCTTGTTTATTGTAGCTTATTACCTTCTAGATCAAATGATAAAGCATGGAGTTCACTGCTCTTTGGCCTGCCCCCAAGAAGAATGGTTTCTCGCTCTCCTAGAAGGTAGAACTCAAGGATCTCCCACATGGTAGGTGGGTGAGTGGGTAATCCCAAAGGCATTTGTGTACAGAGGCAGGCTGGGCATGGGCTTCACTGCCACCCACAGCAGGAGCCAAAGACTCCAGGGCTCCGCGCTGGGCAGTGCTGAGGCTGGAAGGTGATTGAAAGAGAAGAGCCCTGGAGCTCTCAAAGACTCCTCATCTCCAAAGGACTGGCGGTTCCAGATTGATTCTTCTTCACCTTTGCAGGTTTCACAAACTGAGGCTGGGTGTGATCTTTCTATTCCTAGCTACCCTTTGTCCTAGCTACTCAGGAGGTTGAGATCTGAGTGAAGACCACAGCTCAAAGCCAGCCTAGGCAGGAAAGACAGTGAGAGTCTCTCCAGTTAACTACCTAAAAAACAGAAGTGGCTCAAAGAGTTAGAGCACTAGCCTTGAGAATAAAAGCTCAAGAACAGCACTCAGGCTCTGAGTTCAAGTCCCATGACCAGCAACAACAACAAAATAGGGAGTTTTATTGAGTTTCTGTCAAAGGCTCTTTTGGCAACTATTCAGATGATCATGTGATTCTTGCTCTTTTGTTCATTACATTTATAGATTTATATATATTGAACCATCCTTGCATCCCTGGGATGAAGCCAATTGATCCTTATACTATTTTTGTTGCTTAATTGAATTCAGCTAGTATGTTATTGAGGAGTTTTGTGTCTATGTTCATCAAGGAGATTGGTCTGTAGGTCACTTTATTTGTCAAGTACCTGTCTGTCTTCTGGAAGAGTGGAATGCTGGCTTTCTAGAATGAGTAGT